AGAAATTTATCAATCATCAAATCAAGAAATGTTTGCTATTTTGCTGTCGTCATGCAGTCGTTATAATGCAAACTTTAAATTGAACCAATCAGTGTCCGTTATTCATGACATTCCGCCATATTTTTGAGATCAGTGAGGATGATCACCCATCGTTGGTGACCGACGCCCGCGCTCATTGATGAACTTTAGACCTCGCTAATGCTTTCGTTTCCCAGGGTGTAAATAGCCGGGGGGAATTAGTACCCTTGCACGGCGTTTCGCGCCGTCGGCTCGGGAACAAGGGAAATCATCTTTAGCCGAATATGTATGTTACACCAAACACGAGATTGCGTAGAAAAACTCTAAAGTAAATTACCACAAACAATCGCTATGGTCAAAGACTTTGCCTAGAAGCGTGGCATATAAATATGTGTAATCATGCTTTGAATAGGGATGACGGGGCCTATTTGCCAGAGGAATATATGCATCTCATTTGCAGGTGACGTCATCCCTTGGGTATTTAAGAAGCCACGATGTAAACCTGGCCAATAAACACGCTGTAATGGCTGGCTGTTCCGCCTTCTGGCCAGTAAACTGCATATTTTTGCATAAAAAAAACGAGGACACGTTGCACCGCTGAGTGAACCTTCTGTTACTGATCTTTATTCTGTGGTATTGTTAACTTTCATAAACATCCCTCTAACACGAATTTCTGATCTTTAATGTTACAGGACGCCCTTTTTGGCGTTTGGCGGAAAATCGCTACTGCGCGCTCAATAACAGTCCGATTTTCGTCAAATTTTCACCAAATGCATACAAAATATGGAAAATTGTAAAGTTGACAAACAATAAAATAATTGAAGAATTATTCAGGAAAATCTTAAATCGCGGTACCGTTACGCTTTTGAGTTGTATTCCTGCTGGTTTTAAGATATATTTATGAAAATATCATTTTTATACTGTAAAATAGTTGTTTTAAAAATCGTGTTCGGAAATTTTTGTTTATTTCGTCATTCCGTTGATATGGCGATTTCTTTGACGACTGCAATATATTTCAGAATCGTTTGAGTAAATTACTTCCAATTATTAAAATACGCAAAATTAGAAAAAATGCCGAACGCAATTTTGAAGCTGGCGTCCTTAGCTATGGCCTGTGAAAATTCGTGCTAAATTCGTTAAAACTCGCCGGAGAACAACTCGTTCGAAAATCAGTAATTGCTAAAAATTTCTGGGAGAAAATTAAATTTGAATACATTTTCAATGTTTTTCTTATTGCAGCAAAATGTATTTTATTAAATAACTCTGCAATTTTCAACATTTTTCGTTCAAATTTCGTCACATAGTAGAATTAGTCTAATGCTTTCATGAAAGCCAATAAAACAATTTTAGGCAAAATTAACACTCAAAGGTGTTCTGTAACCTTAATGTGGTTTACAAGTGGGCACATGTGACCTAAGCAACGCCTGGTGATTTTGTGGCCTTATTACTTATTCACGAATTTTACAATTATATATAATGACAGTTTTAGTCATGATATGATATAATTAACGTTAAATACTTTTTGTACACATGGCGTTCCATATTATACTGTCGATATTCATGATACTGTAAATATAATAATCTGTACGTATGTTGTGACCTCGAAAAGTGCCTAGAAAACGACTTCCAGTAAGCATGTTTTGGATCTGAAATTTTTTACGGGAACTAACACTTTCGAACACGTTGAGTTCAAATCGGAAAAGTTCCCACTCCGTAGACTCGAAGTTTTTTGACAAACTGTTATTTTATTTTCACTAATTTCACAGCAAATCTTTTCATTGTTCAACAACACGGATCGATGACGATATACGATTACAGTTATGTCACTCAAAAGGACCAATATCTATTAACAATTCTTCCTTTTAACAACAGGCCGGTTCTGCTCAAATCATCTTCAGTTATGCAATATTATGCGTGTTGGACGTAAACAACGTACCTTGTCTACAACTTTGTGAAGATACAGATAATCAGTCCTTCTAATATCCTTAGTTCTGGATCTTTCTCTATAATATTATACGGGAGTTAATGTTAAGTCTTTGCGCTGTGTCTGTGGGCAGAGAAATAATTGGTTACAACCATCCGAAGCTTTCGTACATATTTCCCCCAGAATTTTTAGTTCTTTTAAATCTATTTCCGTGTAAAAATTATCAATTTTCGACGACAAATTCTAAATATTTTGTTTATATTTTGTAACGATTACCAAGCATGCGTAGAACTCACGTTGGAAATACAACGTACTAGTTACCGGTAGCCAATCACAGGCTTGAATCATTTCCATTTCTCCAGACCTATGCCCACCCTTATCCTGCGAACGGGATGCTCGGGGAACGAGATTGGGTTTTCAATCGCACGCCCGTGCCACACGCTAAAATTGGCCAATCTAAACTATATTTCCCGTTGAAACTCCCACATGAAATTTAGATATTTCGAAACACCGAAATAGAAGATGCAAATTTGTAGATACCAACTTCAAAATAACCCTCTAAATAGTGTTTTGGATTGTGATCCGAACAAGACTATTACGAAAAAGATATCTTCAAAGGGGCCGAAGTTATGTTGGGCGAAAGGTATGCCTTTGTAATCCCATTAATGTTATTTAATCTAATGAAATATGATATCGCTTGCCCTCTAAAGGTCGTAAATCGCTGTAATGTTGACACTTTACTAAATGTGTTGATACGAATTTTTTTCACTTATTTTCATCTACATAGCATGCACTGAACCAAAGATATAAACCTCCAAAAAACCATGTTGAACCAGACCAGGTTTAATTACCGCCAAACGAAATAGGGTACAGTCTTTTATCGCAATAGACAGTACTGTATCTCGTGATTTAAGTGTCTCAAGAAACGTGTCTCCTCAATTGTGGGTCAAAACCGAAACTCGTATCTCGTAATATTAATTATCTTAGCAATAAAAATTGAAAGAAAAATGTTGAAGAGATATGCCAAAAGAAATTAAATGTGCCTTATTTAAATTATGTATAAAAATCCTTCACAACTTTTGCTTATACCGTTTCGAAATATTGCAGAGAAAACCAGCGTAAATTACGCCATCTTGATTCGTTATGCATGTTACAACTGCAGTAAATATAGTTTTTTTATTTTCCATCCATTTAAAATTTCTCTCATCAATATTAATCAAACCACATGGAAATGTTGACAAGGAAATCCCTGACATTAAATAACGATCAAGTAGGTTTTCTTTGTTTTTTCGAGGTTTATGTATGGCCAATCAACCTTTCAAGAACAAAAGAGGATTTTGAAAGCAGGCGACGGCTTTTGAAACATTCCAGGGGGAATTGGGGTTAATGGACTGATTAGCTGATTTCCACCGCGAGCGGATTTATGTATATAATCCAAGATACTGTGTATAATCCCGACAAAAAACACACCATGATTACACTATGACTACATTTATTTTATTATTTTTTTTTCAACTTCGCAAGGTAAAATTACACGAATGATATGCATACAATACAAATACAAAATTATACAAGTGACGAATGGCGGGAACACCACAACAGTTAAAACCAAGTACTGCGGGCCCTTTTCACATGCAGGTTACATGCACATATCTAAAACAACAGTTGATAACATTGGTCAAACTTCGCCAAGAGTTACAATATAAACATATAGATCTCCATGTTCTTGGATCTTCTGCATCAAAACAACTTTGCAGGGCTTTCGAATAATATTGTCGTAATAAACTTTTGAATGTACTTAAACTTAAATTTGGGTGTCTTAATTAAAATTTTAATGACGCTTAACAATCCCATAAGGAAACCACGTTAAATCGTTTTTAAAAAGCATTGTCATCTGGGGCGCATATCTTTTCAGCGGCAGTAGTTTTTCAAGTTTTCCAATCCAATATGGCAGATTCGCGAGCTAGGCGGATTATAAGCAAAAATTATAGGCAAAAATATGCATAATTTCGTACTGTAGAGGGACAACGAGATAGCATTTTAGGCACCGAACAATTTCTAAAAATTCCGCAAGTTTGCTGTTATTCGCAGAAATGATGCGCACCAGGTGACACTGCTCTTTTCGGTTATCTGGAGATTTATATCCCCAAGATATTTGCCTGGCTTAAAGCATCCGGTCTTGGTGCTTAAGCTATACTTATACGTCATCCACTCCCAGTCAATTAACTATAGATAAACTGCAGAAACAACCCAGGACAAGAAATCTGTTTCTGGATCTGTTTCTTTAAAACCAAGCACGATGTGAAAAGATTGTAAATGGTCTTTATAAATCATTTCAAATAAGAAAAATCTTTACTTCTGATTACAAGATGATTATCTTCTGTTTGCTCTTTTCATTTGTTTACCACAATAGCAAATCAGCTTAATTTAAACAGTATATGTCTGTATTGTTAAGGTTTGAATAATAGAGCTGTGGAAAGAACTTACATCTGGGTAGACAATAGTCCAGTAGACTATGTGAACTGGCAATATGGCAAGCCAATTGCTGGCAGCATTCTTGAAAATTGTATCGCAATGGATAGAAGAAGTGGACAGTGGAGAGACATCAGATGCACATATTCTCGCCCATACATATGTAAAAAGAATTTAGGTGAGTGTTTACAAATGCTATTAGAGCAATCTATTTATTTTATATACACTGAAAAGAATATTTCCGAATATGAGAAAATACAAAAGACTACAACAATAAACTATATGATTTGTGACTTTTATTAATCCGCATTTTGGATCCGTACAACTATTATCGCATATGACGTTCTGGATAAAAGGGAAACTGCCGTTCTCCCACGTGGTAGCGAAAAACCTACTGATCTGCGACATAACTGAATGGAAATATAAAAATGAATTAAACATTCGTGAACAGTAATTATTTGGATCATGAGATTTTCATAGGAGTTGATGAACAGAAGTGGATTCGCAAAATGCTCACTATGCGACTTTTATTTAGAAACGGTACGAAAATACGCCAACTCTTGATTACATTACGACAACTAATTCACGACAACGATTCTTACTTTAGCTGATTAAGGCAAAACATTGCCGACCTGGAAGGTTGATAGGTCGGCATTTTAATACTGTAGGTCGGCATTGCCGAATGCCGATCTCGTTTTCGAGAGTTGTTAAATTATATTTTTCGACGAAAATGACCTACCTGTTCTTCCAGCAGAAGACACCGAACTAGACACAACCAGGAGTTACATTTCAATCCAATTCAGACGATTAACTGAACTAAAGAACTTCACTATTTTGACCACGGTTATAAACATACAAACATGGCTTCCCAATTGTGTATTGAATAATTCAAACAAATGTTGTCATGTGATTATACCGGAAATGCCCGGAAGTTAATAATATGTTAATTTGATTATATATGATAAATAATAATTCAAAATTGTACTATTTCACTAAGAATTGTCGTGACAAAAAATTAATAATTATGTTAAATTTCAACAAATTGTATTTTTCTGCTTTTCCCCCTTAAACAGTTTGATTACAGAAGATAAATAATTAATAAGTAATAGAACGAATTAAGTATTACTATTTAATAAATGCCATAATCAAATTCATCCCAGGCTGTGCCTGTCAAATAAAAGATTTTGGCTATGCACATGTAAAGAAATAGGTACGCAGTGCGTACATGTTGCATGCCATCAAAACCTATATATATAGAGCTATATAGAGCTTTTAGACAACAATTTCCCATCTTTTTCTTAACTCATTGAGCCGCAATGCGCTCTAATTATTTTTTTACTTGTCTAACGCCAGGCAATTTTACTCGTCAGTGGGGAAGCTCTGCAGCTTAACGGGTTAAAAAGCAACTTCCTCTAACGGGGAGGGGGAAGGGGCAGAATCATCTGAAAAATTGCCCTTCGAGGGTTGGCCACTGGAAAATATAGGTATAAAGGGATTGGCCACACCAAAGTTTCTGGACGGTACACTAAATTGCACCAGACCCCTAAATTGCCGTAGACCTCGCGCATGCGCAGATTCAACTGGATATCATCTTTAAGAGACAAGAAAAGAAAATCATAAATGATGAATATATTTTGGTAGTCTTTTCGGTTTCATTGTCCCAAAACTTGTTTATTCGTGTAGTTTGGTGTCTACCCAAACTATCTTGGTTGGCAAACTTTGTACGCCATTCAACCAAGTTCTCCCGCTTTTTTAGAATGTTCCTCCGTGATATCTCTACATTCTTCAATGGTAACGGTAACCGATACTTACAATGCCACCGGTATGGGCGCAGATAAGGCCATATTAACTGATGAGAAGGACTACGATTCTATTTGGTGCACTAATAATACATCCGGTACTGCAAAAATCACGGTAATTGATGTTTCTTTTATTTCGCATATTTAACGCTGATTGTTTTACTTAAGATAAATATATCACTTTCCTGGTTTCATTGCGTACAATTTCAAATGTATACAGGGGCGGCGCTAACCCTCTTCGAGTTGGGAGGGAGTGATCTTTTGCCGACTGTTGTTTGGTAATTTTACCGACCCATTAGCCTATAGTAAATGTGCATGTTTAAATGCGCTTTATTACCCTCTATTAAGCCGGTTTTCCACTAAAGAATTATTCCGCGCGAAGCAACGTTTGTCTGTATCCATTTTGAAGCCTTCGAAAACCGTCAAAATTGAGGTCGCCAGAAAAGGCCTACCTAAATCTGACCTAGGTCTCGGCATTTCTTAAAATCTGTTTCACGTGTTGGAGCACAGTAGAAAAGGGAAGAGGGGTTCTAGACCGGGTGGTGCGGGTGGTGTACTAAGCACCACCCATGACGTCATCAGGATATCATATTGTACTGATTATACGCGCTTGTAATGTATTTAAAGAGTGTGGACCAATGATTACTAGCATTTTAAGAACATTTTACGATTTAATACTTTGCTAATATTTATCCCCACATATATTCCTTCTAACAAACTGAGTGGAGTTTAACATGTTCTCGATATATATTCTACGAACGTTGTTGTAATGCTTGTGGGACGTAGATATTGTACGCATGCGCGGTGAGATTTGCGTTTTACGAAACTTTCTGACTTATAGGAGTTTGCTAAGATTCCGGGGGAAATTCTGCAGAGAATATCCCAGTTTATTCAAAATTCCCCAAAATCATAAAGAAAATAGAAATAGAGTATAAAAGGTGTACTTGAATTCATCTTATTACAAGGTTTTATTAGATTATCTTAGAGTGTCCACTACTTTAACACCATCCTTGGTCTTACCTGGGGATGTATTCACCATGTTTAGAACTGTTAAAAACAAGGAACAATAAAAATCTAGACATACATATGAAAATTTTTAGACAGAACTAAGCAGTTGCTAAGCCCAAGTTAAAATCGGTGTCAACGCCGTTGTTATGGTCGATATTTGCATATTACAGAGTCACTAAAAAGTGATTAACTCGCCCACCCCGTGTGGATATATATAATTTCTTTATTTCACCCAGCGAGCTTGAGATAGGAAAAAAATACTAACACACAGAGAGTTATTACAGATGATATGCAAGCTATATCGAAGTTTTGTCGTTTGCGGCTCTCTAAAACGTATAACGCCAAAGTCATTAACAGTCATTCATGGATTACAAGCAAAATTTCAATCAATTAAACTAATATTTAAATCCCGTTCTGCCATATGGGGTCTGGGAGAGAATATGTTGCTGTCGAGAGTTATATAAACACATGGAAGTTAGATGTCATGATATATAATTGTCAAGCGATTTCTATATTTTAGCGCTAGTTTTTTAAAGTACTAAAGCTCGGATAAGGTTAATAAATTTAAGCTATATTAAAGCACACCGGTTGCTATGTGTTGTTAGGGTGAAACTAATTAAAGGATTAACTTTTTATCAGAGATTTGCATTTTCTACTGTGTGGATAAATACGGGTAGATTAGGATATTCATTGCGCGGGCGTCGCGGGTTATCCGTGCGGGTTGGAAACACAACAATAATGAGGTTTATATTGGAAGAGAGAAAGCAATTTAGACAATGCAGGAGCGCTTTGCAGCCAAAAGTTTACACAAGAATTCAATCTTAAAATACATTTATTTCTTCGAGACGTTTACAAAGTTAATGTGGTCTACTTCTTAGAGCATAATGTGTTTGATTTTATTTAAATTACGCACAACAATTTAAATGTTTTTTTGTAATAAGAGTCGTTTGGCTTAATTGTTCATTCGCCATGGTTTCTATGCTCATAGCCCTACATCAACCCTACATCGACCACACATCGACCCCACATCGACCCTACATCGACCCCACATCGACCCCACATCAACCCTACATCGACCCCACATCGATCCTAAATTGAACCTTATCTTCCTTATCCTTATCTTTATCTTCCTTATCTTTGTCTTTTTATCTTCCTTATCTTTGTCTTTTTATCTTCCTTATCTTTATCTTCCTTATCATTATCTTTTTATCTTCGTTATCTTTATCTTCCTTCTCTTTATCTTTTAATCTTCTTTATCCTTATCTTTATCTTCCTTATCTTTATCTTTTTATCTTTTTATCTTCCTTATCCTTATCTTTATCTTCTTATCTTTATCTTCTTATCTTTATCTTCTTATCTTTATCTTCTTATCTTCCTTATCCTTATCTTTATCTTCCTTATCGTTATCTTTATCTTCCTTATCATCATCGAATGGCTTTAGGATTCAATGATTCACTCTTATGATTCAATGATTCACTCTTATGATTCAATGATTCACTCTTATGATTCAATGATTCAATCTTCTGATTCAATTATTCAATCTTATACTCCCTAGGCTCGGAGACAGCTCCTTAGGTTCGGAGGTTCACAGAAGCTTCACAGACGCTTCACAGAAGCTTTACAGAAGCTTTACAGAAGCTTCACAGAAGCTTTACAGAAGCTTTACAGAAGCTTCACAGAAGTTTTGAAGTTTATGTGAAGCTTCTGTAAAGCTTCTGTGAAGCTTTTGTGAAGCTCCGAGCCTAAGGAGCTGTCTCCGAGCCTAGGGAGTATAAGATTGAATAATTGAATTATAAGATTGAATAATTGAATCATAAGAGTGAATCATTGAATCATAAGAGTGAATCATTGAATCATAAGAGTGAATCATTGAATCCTAAAGCCATTCGATGATGATAAGGAAGATATTGTTTTAGTATTTTTGTGGGGGTTTTTGGGACTGAATATATATTAATTTTGCTTATTTCTTTATCAGTATAACTTACACAAAATGGGTAGGCGCCATTTTGAAAATTTCGGGTTTGTTATATTCACTTGTAGGTGAATATAACAGCTTGAAACGTCAAATTTGACCAATCAACTTGTAGGATTTGTTATGTTCACTTGTGCAAAAATACTAATTACGTATTATAGGCCGTTTACATTTAACACACTTTGAGGTTGATCTTATTGCGGATCCTTAAACTTCTTGTCGAGTATCCGCAAGTGTCCACCGTTTAATAGATGGTAAAAATGCCGGGCTACTAGGCAAGAATTTTGCTTCCTTTTTGAAATGTGGACCGATCCGAGGGCACCTAACGAGGTGGTCTAGTGTAGATCGAACTTGATTGTCAAATGGGTCTCGGATCTGTCTAAATTACTGGTGTGGACAGGATTCAATGATAGGATTCAATGATTCACTCTTATGATTCAATGATTCACTCTTATGATTCAATGATTCACTCTTATGATTCAATGATTCAATCTTCTGATTCAATTATTCAATCTTATACTCCCTAGGCTCGGAGATTGCTCCTTAGGCTGGGAGGTTCACAGAAGCTTCACAGAAGCTTCACAGAAGCTTTACAGAAGCTTTACAGAAGCTTTACAGAAGCTTTACAGAAGCTTTACAGAAGCTTCACAGAAGCTTTGAAGTTTATGTGAAGCTTCTGTAAAGCTTTTGTGAAGCTGTTGTGAAGCTCCGAGCCTAAGGAGCTGTCTCCGAGCCTAGGGAGTATAAGATTGAATAATTGAATTATAAGATTGAATAATTGAATCATAAGAGTGAATCATTGAATCATAAGAGTGAATCATTGAATCATAAGAGTGAATCATTGAATCCTAAAGCCATTCGATGATGATAAGGAAGATAAAGATAAGGATAAGGAAGATAAAGATTAGGATAAGGAAGATAAAGATTAGGATAAGGAAGGAAAAGTTAAGGATAAGGAAGATAAGAAGATAAAGATAAGAAAATAAAGATAAGGATTGATTGATTGATTGATTGATTGATTGATTGATTGATTGATTGATTTTAATAATTACCACATTGTAAATTAATAAAAATTTAAAAAACGTGATATTACATAGATAGTATTAAAATGTTTAAATTTGCAACTAAAACTACTATAATATAAACTATATTAATGATATGTACTATAAACAAGGGTGGGTTGACTACAAAATTTTTGTAGTTCGCTATAACTACAGCTACTTCAAAAATATGTAGTCAGCTACAACTACTGCTACTTTTGAACAAAGGTAGTTCGCTACTGACTACAGCTACTGCTTAAAAAATGTAGCGAACTCTTTCGCTATTTCGCTACTCTATATGTTTTAGTTTTACGGTATTTGGGCTCAGGCTGTAATGTAACCTATAACAAATCGACTTACGAGTAGCAACAGTAAACAAAAAGGGTCAAAGCAACATTTTTGCAAGCACTACAGTGTTCAGGAGTGCCACTTTTCAATGCGCTAAAATAATCTTTACTGTATAAAATAATCTTTTAAGCAAACCGTGTCTTAATATCATTCTATTCTATGAACGGTTGCTAACAATTTTAAAAAGTAGCGAATAGCGATTCGCTGTTTGAAAAGTAGTCAACTATTTGGCTACTTTTAGTCAAAATGTAGTTCGCTATAACTACAACTACTGTTTTAAAAAAGTAGTCAAAAACTACAGGCTACTTAAAAATTGTAGTTCGCTACAGTAGCGAACTACAACTACTTCGCTACTACCCACCCTTGACTATAAAATATTTTGTTATGTCTATGGTCGGTCCCAGTTTCTAACACACTTTGGGATAAAACTGTTCTTATATCGTTCAGTTTTGCACTTATACATAGGATAAGTGCGTTTATTTCTTAGACTGAATTTGTGAGATATAAGTAGCGTTCTCAACTTATCGTCTGAGTGTTGATGGATATTCTTATAGAATGACAAGCACTGATTCTCTCTTCGCTGGTAAATGTAAGAAGGCCAGTGTTTCTTAGTGAGGTAGTATAAGAGGACTGGGGGAAAGCGATTTTCAATGCACGTTTTTGTATACTCTCGATTTGATCAGCGAGGAATTGAGGGAGAGAAAAATTCCATACAGGTGAGGCGTATTCCAAAACTGGACGAATAAATGCACAAAAGACCGTTATTAAATCATTGGCTGGGGCACCAGATCGTTTGAGGATCCTTAGAGCATAAAGACGTTTACTTGCTTTGGTGCAGATGTAATCAATGTGCGCATTCCAGGTAAGATCCGATGGTATTATCACTCCCAGAAGTTTGAAGGTCTGGATGATTTCTATGGTTCTAAGGAAGATAAAAAGATAAAGATAAGGAAGATAAAGATAAGGAAGATAAAAAGACAAAGATAAGGATAAGGAAGATAAGGAAGATAAAGGTAAGGATGAGGAAGATAAGAAGATGAAGATAAGGTTCGATGTAGGGTCAATGTAGGGTCGATGTAGGGTCGATATGGGATCGATGTAGGGTCGATATGGGGTCGATGTATGGTCGATGTAGGGTCGATGTAGGGTCGATGTAGGGTCGATGTAGGGTCGATGTAGGGTCGATGTAGGGTCGATGTAGGGTTGATGTAGGGCTATGAGCATAGAAACCATGGCGAATGAACAATTAAGCCAAACGACTCTTATTACAAAAAAACATTTAAATTGTTGTGCGTAATTTAAATAAAATCAAACACATTATGCTCTAAGAAGTAGACCACGTTAACTTTGTAAACCTCTCCAAGAAATAAATGTATTTTAAGATTGAATTCTTGTGTAAACTTTTGGCTGCAAAGCGCTCCTGCATTGTCTAAATTGCTTTCTCTCTTCCAATATAAACCTCATTATTGTTGTGTTTCCAACCCGCACGGATAACCCGGGACGCCCGCGCAATGAATATCCTAATCTACCCGTATTTATCCACACAGTAGAAAATGCAAATCTCTGATAAAAAGTTAATCCTTTAATTAGTTTCACCCTAACAACACATAGCAACAGGTGTGCTTTACTATAGCTTAAATTTATTAACCTTATCCGAGCTTTAGTACTTTAAAAAACTAGCACTAAAATATAGAAATCGCTTGACAATTATATATCATGACCTCTAACTTCCATGTGTTTATATAACTCTAGACAGCAACATATTCTCTCCCAGATCCCATATGGCAGAACGGGATTTAAATATTAGTTTAATTGATTGAAATTTTGCTTGTAATCCATGAATGACTGTTAATGACTTTGGCGTTATACGTTTTAGAGAGCCGCAAACGACAAAACTTCGATATAGCTTGCATATCATCTGTAATAACTCTCTGTGTGTTAGTATTTTTTTTCCTATCTCAAGCTCGCTGGGTGAAATAAAAAAATTGTATATATCCACACGGGGTGGGCGAGTTAATCACTTTTTAATGACTCTGTAATATGCAAATATCGACCATAACAACGGCGTTGACACCGATTTTAACTTGGGCTTAGCAACTGCTTAGTTCTGTCTAAAAATGTTCATATGTATGTCTAGATTTTTATTGTTCCTTGTTTTTAACAGTCCTAAACATGGTGAATACATCCCCAGGTAAGACCAAGGATGGTGTTAAAGTAGTGGATTGTCTTATGTCAAAATGGCGGACAATTCTAATTTTGTGAGCTCTACAAAATTCCATCAAAATATCCCGAAAATATGGAACGCTAAAGAAATTTGTAATCATATAGCTTCTTCCAACTTAAGTTATGATAGTAAACGAATTAAATGGATTGGAACTTTTGATATAGTGCAGAAATTTGTCGAATGCGATCTTAAATTGGATGGCAAATGGTCTTCGCCAGGCGGTTGTTCGAAGAACGTTTACGTGCTATAATCTAGATATATCAATAACTTGGTACCCCAAGAAACTAAATACACTCGTATTTCACGGTGAGGAAAGCTCCGGTTTGGTTGACGCGTTAATAAATGTGTGTGCAGAGGCAATCTCTAAAGACGATGGTTTATCAAACAATGTATGTGTGTCGGCCAAACATAGTTCGATTGCAACAATAAACTCAGCTGTTGATGAACCTGAACAGATGTCTAATCACTGTATTAAGGACTTTGAACTAACTGATTGTCATCAAAAGGTCAGTATAGAGCATGATTTCAAACTTGGCTGTCAGTGTAGAATTTTAGCTGCTGATTTGGAGGGAGTTAAGCTCGATATAGCAATCATGTGCAGAGACATAGAAACTAAGTTTCTTGCAGCTTACAATTCACGGGATAGTGATAGTGAACAAATAAGTGAACAGTTAAGCACGAGCTTCTTAAGGAAAAGAAGAAATGTAGTCAGTTGGAGGCTGATATATCTATTTTGGTTCGAGGAAGGAATAGGGAGATAAACGAATTAAAAAATACCATTACCTGTCTCGAAAACAAACTTAAATCAAGCGATGTGATAAATGAATCCCTAAGACAATCGCTAATGCAAATTAATTCAGAAAAATTCAATGGTGTATCGAGTGCCGAACAAAGACTGTCAAACTACCTGAACAAATTAATACTTATAACTGCATCATAGACACTATAAAATCGATAGAAGCTGCAAATTCAAACCTAGGAATTTGTTTACCAGGTGAACCATTTATTCCCGAAACAGTGAGCGTTGAAAGCTCCCTTGATAATTCATGTTTAATTGTCCAACCAGCAAGTTGTAATAGAACCAACAATATACTAGACAACAAAGGTGAAATTAACAAAGTGAAGTTAATGGAGCACAATAGAAATAACGACAAAATCAGTAAAGCTAAGGTCTCGCGAAGTTACTCTCGACGCAATCATAATTCTCCCCCTTACTGTGAGCCATTGTCGCTGAAATCGCTTGGAAACGTGCCTCTTATCGAAATATCCAAGCCATTTATAACTCAGAAGAAGGAAACCTTTTTAGAAAACCCATCAAATATATTGAATGATAATACAACTAGCACTGAGACAGTTACTCAGCATGTGTGCATTGGCCAAATACCTGCTGATATCTCTGAATTTATTGTCTTAGACGGCGACGAATGCATGTCTGAATGTGACAATACTAATAACTGTCCTTTTCGGCAGAGCTTTTTGGAGCGTCCCCCGCCCTTGCCTCATGTTCGAAGAGCGGAATGCATGGTTGGCGCATTTAGATCCTGTTCGCCAGCTGACGACAGACAAAGTAAATTTTAAAGAAAATGAGAGAAAATCTCATGAAAATTACAGTTCGATTCCCGTTGAACTTCTTGTTCAAAAAATTCCTGTGAGAATAACCCATCGCGTATCAAACTTTCAAAGAAAAATAAATGCAAAACCTAGACAATTAAGAACACTACAGCATTGCCCTGAACACATACAAATGGAAAATCAATTGTTTCCAGTACCTAAATCACTGTTTATTAACATATGTAATCTTAAGAAAACGAAAAATCGAGTACAAGCTTCAGTGGCGTTAGAAGCGGATTTATGCGCTTCAGATGTGTCGTGTCGGAAACCCATGTAAACAATAAAATTCCAGACTCCGTTGTTGCAATGGCATCATATAACCTATACCGTAGAGATAGAGACTATAATGCAGATCCACGAAAAAATGGAGGAATTGCAGTATATCTTCGACAGAACTTGGAAGTAATTCGTGTCATTTGGGAAACAGAATTTGAAATGATTAGTATTATTATAATAGTAGTATTATACTTACTTATTAGTTATTGGAGCCTATCACCCTCCAAGATTTAGTTATGATGAAACAGATTTTTTGAATCGAATTGTGGAAGTTGTTGACGATTTTTTAGACATTAACCCAAATGGCTTAGTTCTCTTTGGTGTAGACATTAATCATCTAAACGTTAGTCAACTTTCCACAATGTCTGGCATGTTGCCTTTGGTAGACTTTCCCACCAGAGGGCAAGCAATTCTTGATACCTTTTTACAAATAGACCGGAACTTTTCAATAAAGCATACCCATTGTATACACAAATGAAAACAGACCATTTGGGAGTCATAATTCCGACAGAAATAAAATTGAAGCCCCTCCGCACTAAAATCATCTTTAGGGACTACAGAGCACAGAATAAAGTCAAATTTCAAAAGAAGCTTGCCGAGAAAAGTTGGTCTGCAGTTACGTCATCGGAAACAGTTGAAGAAGCAACTAAAGTATTGGAGGACACTATCCATAATATGATAGATCAATGTTTTCCAAGAAAACAGTTACTCTTTCCACTCGTGACCCTCCATGGATGTCTCCACTCTTAAAGTATTTAATAAGAAAAAGATCAAAGGCGAAGTCAAGGAGAAAGCTATCTATTGCGGCAGAATTAACAGAACGAATATCTGGAATAATTTCACATAATCGAACAAAAATGGCAAAGTCCGAGTGTACTGGCACAAGTCAATGGTGGAAAAACGTTAACTTTTTGTCACATAGAAGAAATCGAGCACATATTATACTTGACAACGAGTTCAAAGAAAACTTGAACGATTACTTTGGAGAGTTATGTTGGGATAGAGATTATGAACAGCCAACGTTGATGGAGATAGATTCAATCACAATAAAACCTCCTCAGTTTAGCATAACCCAGGTTAAGAACGCTTTGTTGAAAATAAGGAAAACCGCAACAGGCCCTGATGAAATTCCATTTGGGGTATGGAAAGAAAACGCTGATGTATTTGCACCTGTTATGACCAAGATTTGGAATGAATCTCTCTCTACATCCACATGGCCTACCTCTTGGAAAATTTCTCGTATAGATCCTTTACCAAAAGTCGAGAATCCAAAGGAATATTGTGAATTTAGAGGTATAAACGTCACACCTGTGATTGGACGATGCTTCGAAAGAACGGTTTATCATTATCATAGTAAAAGATCTTTCGAGGCTGAGTTATCATCTTCCCAGTTTGCTTATCGAATCGGTGGGTGTAGCACAGACGCCTTAATTAAATTACAGTATATGTACCTGGAAGAACTAGAAGAACCAAATTGTGATGCAGTGAGATTAATTGCAATGGACTTTTCCAAAGCATTTGATAATGTAAAACACGCAAAACTGAATGAAAAATTGAAATCGAGTTCTATGAACCCTTATTTAGTAAATTGGTACTTAAATTTCTTAAAAGATTGAAGACAGAGAATAGTTTTCCAAGGAACGACATGCAAGTGGAAAGATATTAACAAGGGAGTTATGCAAGGAACTGTAACCGGACCACATTTCTTTAATTTATTTATTAATGATTTGGAGATTAAAAACTGTTCCAACACCCCCCTTGTTAAATTCGCGGATGATTCCTCACTTTTGGTACCGATTTTGAAGAATACCCAAGATTGTAGTTCTAAAGCCATAGATGAAGTTAAGGACTTGTCCGAATCATACTCTTTACCTTTAAATGAGGGTAAATGTAAAGAAATGATTATATTAAAGAAAGGACGATCAGAGGATTGTGTATCACCACTTTATGGTTTTGAACGGCATTCTAGTCTTGAAATACTGGGGCTAACCTTTGAAATGACAAGCAGATTTGAGAAATGTGTTAAGCAAAAGTTGGTGAAAGCAAATAAATGCTTGTTTGTAATTCGAAAACTGAGGAATGAAGGATATAGTCAAGACGAATTAGATCTTCTTTTTAGGTCACTGGTCCTGTCACAACTTACCTATGGCTTATCAGTAATTGCTGCATCACCACCGGAGTTAACAACTATTCAAAACTTCTTAACTCGTTGTTATAAAAGAAGATACACAATATACTGTTAGAACAGACAGATAGAAAGCTTTTTGAAAAGCTGTGTAAACAAAACAATCATCCGTTAAGAGAAATCTGTCCAGAAATTAAAGAATATACAGTTAAACTTAGAACACAAGAGGCACAGTGGCCAAACATTTCTACCGAGCGTTTTAAAAAAGTTTCATCAATAGATGTATTTTTAGATATAGCTAATTTAGCTTTGCAACTCTAATATAACCTAAAAAATTTTTAATGTTAAAAACTTGTAATATATTTTAAAATAATTGATTTGTAACACTTGGTATGTAATTTATCAATTGATTAATAATAATAATAATAATAATAATAATAATAATAACACTCTAAGATAATCTAATAAAACCTTGTAATACGATGAATTCAAGTACACCTTTTATACTCTATTTCTATTTTCTTTATGATTTTGGGGAATTTTGAATAAACTGGGATATTCTCTGCAGAATTCCCCCCGGAATCGTAACAAACTCCTATAAGTCAGAAAGTTTCGTAATACACAAATCTCACTACGCATGCGTACAATATCTACGTCCCACAAGCATTACAACAACGTTAGTAGAATATATATCGAGAACATGTTAAACTCCACTCAGTTTGTTAGAAGGAACATATGTGGGGATAAATATTAGCAAAGTATTAAACCGCAAAAATTTTCTTAAAATGCTAGTAATCATTGGTCCACACTCTTTAAATACATTACAAGCGCGTATAAACAGTACAATATGATATCCTGATGACGTCATGGGTGGCAGTTAGTGCACCACCCGGTCCAGAACCCTCTTCCCTATACTACTCATGAATCTGGGAAAAAGTCAACTTGAATTCCATGGAAATATATATAATCTGCAATCATGTCATCAATCAGATAGTAAACAATCATTAAGATGTCTTCAAGATTATATTTAACAGTAACCAACATGAAAATTTTTAAATGGGAATTAGTTGATGGCATTACAGTTTTCTAATGCTATATGATTTTGTTTATCAAGCTGAAGAAACTTAATATACCTTTCTCTGTTACAGAGCTATGATAGTAATCTTAGAAGATTTTCATGATCCCTCTATTCAATAGTTATTTAACCAGTCTAGTATTATGACTGTATTATGATAAATAGCCTTGTTTGACTTTTGTATTTTGTTTCTTTAATAATACATTTACAATGGTCAAAATTACAGTTTAATATTTGTATTTCTAATGATAATTACCAGTACATATCCATCACACTTCTCTGTTACTATTAAACTTACTACAATCATACAAGTAAAATCTCTTGGTAAAAATAAATGTTGTCCCAGGATGGTCATAAATATCAGCTAGTAAAACTAATGAATATACCTATAATCATGTACATGTGTTGTATTTGCAATACAACATATTTACAATACAACATTTTTAGGATTGGACTCGTCAGCCATCTTCGAACCCACAACACTCAGCGCAGAAACTAGTAGAGATGAAACTATGGTCATCTTCGACATCGAAGGACGAACTAATAATAATAATAATAATATGTTGTAATTCCTTTAAATGTTTCAAAATAAATAAATGTTTATTTTCAGTTGTTCATTGTTCAAACTTATTTGAAACCTACAGTATATGTAGCTGCCATGATTCAAATATCCAAAAGTGTTACTTTTACTTCAGTCCTTATACACTCCTCCCTAATACAGACATTTTATTGTGCCACTCCAATGTTCATTCAAAGTGATCCAACTGACATCTGAGCTGGTGATAATATACAGCAAAGTATTGGAACTAGGAGTATATCAGATAAGTTGTTCATTCAGTCAAGACCTTGAGTTTGTGCTGATCATCATATCAAACTCCATTACATATTGTGCCTTAAAAACATATACACAAATTTTAAAAGTTGTTGCAGCACACTGGGCCATTCCATCTAATATAGCCCCCACACCCTCCCCCAACAACCTATTGAAGGGTCTCTTCATAATATCTTAAAAATTTTGGAACCCCATTGGATTAAATTTTGGAACCCCCATGGATATCTTTCTACCCCTTTAGGATATTGTTCCTGCCCCTTTGGATATCACTAAAACAGGTATTTTTTAGAAAATCTCTTAAACTACCCTCTAGCTAAATTTAAGGTAAATTAACCCCCTCTCCCCCATAGGATATCCAGGCCTCAATAGGGGGGCTATTAAATGGAGTGGCCCATTTGACTTGGTGATTGGTGACTACCACCAAAGCAAAATGATAAGTCATAGTCATATTATTTTAAATTCAAAGTTTATTGATAAAAGGCCTTTAGTTTTTTGAACATTTTAAAACGTTTCGCGATGCGTTTGTAGTTGAATTTACATTAAATTTAAGCTTGTATTACGCATGATAACAAGCCTAACAAATGTATTTGGGATATTGATAATTTTGAATATACTTGCTTTCTTGATTAGATTGACTGATTCTTCGCTGTATATTACTCTTTTCTAAAATACATTCTCATTCTCTAATATAAATTCTCATTTCACGACGTGCTAATATTAAATATATGATGGGTTTATGTAGACTTTATTATTGTAAACGTAGCGATGCTGTCATAATTCTGTCATATATAATGTTATTGACATGGTTTAATTTTTATTCATTTACTGAAATGTCTGATGATGTTTCATTTTTACATAGCAATGTGTACCATTCGCAACTTTTACCTTATATACGACTGTAGCTATTGCCTTGCTCTTTGCTTTGGACCTATAGAAGCAATTACGAATAGGATAGAATTTGGGGTAAGCGAGTCCAGCATAAACTGACTGAACTGGTTAACGACTATCAGGTTTTAGGCCGTCACCGTCAGAAAAATTCTGATTTTTGTGATAGCACATGTGATATTATCAGCGAATTGTAAGGCTTGGAAGACTGCTGAAAAGTTCTCTGGACACTCTCTGGACACACCTTATCATTTTTAATTCTAGTATTTGAGAGAATTAAAAAAGTAGTTTATGGTGACAAGTATGTAGGAGGACCGGAATCCCCATTCCCTCTAGTGGCGTTGCCACTATGTGAAAAACAGTCGTTTTTTGACAATTCGTTCCTCTTTTAGGGCCTGGAATTAAACCCCTCTGATTGCTGGTCAACGCACGCTCTATGCCATGTTTTAGAGATGGAAGGAAGATACAATGAGGGAATCACATTTCTGGACAGGACTGAAGAACACTGGACTGTAAGTCTGATTGTAAAAATTGGGCTAGTGCATGGACTTTTGCATAACACCTTCGACCGGCATGTATCATATTATATTTTGATTGTTTTGAAAATCGAACTGTTCTCCATGTCACCAGATGCCTATTCTTTATATATATTTGTGGATTTATACGAACGGCCTATTCGACATTGCTGCAAAAGTAGCATGATTCTGTGATGCATTTCATTCCGTGATGGCTATGTCTATAGTTAACATCATCCATCTTTTCTCGCCGAGTAAAATCGAACCTGATCAAACATCAGGCAGTATTATACCCTGGTGGTCAAAACCAACTGATCAAAGGTAATCATTTAACGTATAAAAGAGGAAATCTGTAATAAAACTTCACCATTGTAACTTTGGATTTCCAACTTAAACATATAGAGGACAACATTAATCAAGTGATTGACTAATGAGAAGTGTATTTCTTCTTTATACAGGAAAAATTAATTGTACTTCATTGCTTGGATACGACCCAAGCTTAGGAAGTTTCTTGTTTTAAAGAGCGATAAAAACAATTATTAAGTACTAGTTAAATTCGTTGAACAATTATACACCGTTTCAGACTTGTTTATTTGGTTTTTCAAGCTTTGTATTTGATTAACATTTAAATTAATTTTCTATTTTACTTGTTCACCTGCGCAGTTAATTCTGCAAAGATTCAGATGCGTATAACATTAACAATATCGTTTCTCCGAAAATTATATTAAAGTTTAATTTCATTTGTGTTTTAAAAGTTTCGCCTTAAATTTACTCGGCCCCACGCGATTACATACACTGAACGATTCTTTCTGATAGAGAGCGATCAAATATAATGTTCAAATCGTCGTATTTTAACAATGTTAACTTTATAATTTACTGCTCAACCCAGACGATTTAATTCAGTCGTCGAATGAAAAGTTCTTGGACGAAAAATTAAGGTAGTCTGGAACTACTTCATGTATTTACCATTGTCTTTCACGCATAAATGACGCGCAAACCTTGCAGACTTTCTGACTTAAATTTCTTATCGTGTTTGTCTCCAAACGATTACATTAAGAGTGGTGAGTATGCAGGGGGTGGGTATCACTCCCACCCTTGGACGCGTATAAAGAAGTACCGAGGGGGGAAAATAAGTTATTATAGATAAGATGAGATAGTTTATCATGCATTATTGTGAAACTGTCAAGCAAAATTTCTGATTATAATGCCTTTCTGCCGTAGCTCCATCTAGTATCATTTTATTACAATCTTCCGTTCGTTTAGAGAGGTGAAATGTTGGCTTGTCATAACTATTGGCATTGGGCACTCTACCATATAGAAAAGGTATAATTGTGGATTGAAAATATACAGAATGAATATTTTTACAGAAGGGAAATATATTCTGCGCGCCATCAATTTTCTCTACGAATGTGGACCGATAAAAGATACAGGATTTTAGCACTAGATTTGGGCGATAGTTAAAGTATGATGTGGTGATTATCGTCTATAAGCCTACTAGAATTATCACGGTATTCGATAATATTTTGATGAGTTCAATAAAATACAATGTCATACGGCTTCAAATTACGGTAATTAAAAATATATTTAGCATAAAAAGCTACACTAATAACGATTTTATGTACCTTGTTCTATCAAAATAAATTAAAGTAAATATCAGACTCGAAAAAGATATTATTAATTAAATAAACAAGTTAACTTGCTTCGTTTTACTATTTTATAAACCTTAAAATCCGCAGTTGCAAAGCGGACGGCGTTCAGCGTCCTCTATATATCAGTTCAAGAAATTGAAACACTGCATGACATTGTTTTCGGCTTTTCTAAAAGCTATGTATACCCATGCGAAGCATTATCACGATATGTTGTCACTAAAGATTCTATTTACGATATGACGATCGGCCCTGATCCGGAACAAATATATTGCCCACTGCAAGTAGGAATTGCGATTGAATTGTTATGTTTGCTTTCCTGCTTCATAAGTTTTTACAAGCTTTGGCACAACATTAAGATTACATAACAAAAAAATAATAATGATAAATTTAACAAATACAAAATATTTTCCGTTTTGATATACACTTATATCAAGCCAGAAATTGTGTAGAAGACGAGTTATTTCGTCGAATTTCCACGAGTGATATGAAAGTAAGGTCATGTATATATTTTGAAGGGGGATCATGGAGTTGCTGTTGACATATATGACAAGCAGGTAGGCTACAGTGAACATATTAATGTCATCTGGTTATATTAAATTAAAAAGGTTATATAGGCAATGGTTTCATTTTGAAAAAGTGTTGAAAGCTTCGCTGCTAATTTTTTATATTATAACCTAAGTATCAAAATTATTTTTGATTTTCTAAGTTATTGATGTTAATATTTTTGGCAATATTAACCTCAATAACTATATTTGCTCTGTTATACATGCAGATCTCTCAAAGATGCAAATCTGGAGCAATGCTTGATCTCGTGGACGGCTCATCATTACTGTATCGGTTGCAATTGGAAGGTAATTCAGTTTTAAAAACAGCCCTTTATATCACTGTAAGTTATTTCCATCTTCAAAGAAGCCTCTCTCTTCTCAGATATCGACCATGCCCTTTAATTAATTCTTAATATCGCACTTGTCGACCATTCTGACTTTATTCTCTGTTTTGCAGGCATCAACGTAAAAGATAAATGGCGAGAAATGCAACAACTCTGGGGTGATGGGCACAGTGATGATCACATATTGGTGAGAATTGACACTTGTAACAATTGTGTGCAGTGCAATATAGAATCACTCTTGTCGCGATGTTAATTATATATAGTGATTACAAAACAATAGAATGGGCATTGCGTGATAAATTCGAACGAAATGGGCAAATAGAAACTGTATCCTAATGGGGAAAAATTGCAGTCTGGGATGTATAGTACTTCATATAAAAACGTATACCTATTTAGGAAATCATATTCTTATCGTCAAAAACAGGAAAGATCAGTCTAGAACAAAAGGCACAAAAATATATAAAATAATGTAAACATTGATTTTGTCACTAAGTTTAAATTAAAAAAAGTAACGTAGCAATAGTTTCCACTAAATTTAGGGAGACCGTAGGTTTTGTTCATATTGAATTTGTTGTTGGCTTGTTGCTAGGGCACTCATGAATGTATTGCTATGAACATTTTAATAGGCTATAACCAATTGACGTGTGACATTACATCCGTGACTTACTATCGGAGACCCTATTAGGAAGCTTTAATTTATCATTCGATCCCCCTCCCCCGCCCCGCCCCCAATGCCGACTCTGTTACCATATATCTTTGTGGTTAACATTTTTAATTTTTGCAGGTGTTTAATGATTTGCATCTACTTATGTGTACATTGGGATCAAAGGAGAATGATGAAACAGCCACAATTATGCAATCAATGAAGGATTTCATTTGGTATGTTTAAAGCTGCTATAATTATAACTGGGTCTCTTTTAAATCTTAGCGTCTTCAAATTTCCATCTCGCTACCCATGGCGCTTTTAAAAAATCCGCTCTGGTATTGATATGTTCATGCTCGAGTTTTTCAAATATATATTTAACTACTTGTAGTTGCCATAGGGGTAACTTTCTTGCGTTTTAAAAACTAGTTAAATACTTGGGAGACATCTTTATTTCCTTATAGTAAAACAATATTATAGAAATGAAACGCATGCGCCTAATGTACTTCGTGTTAACATTCGAATGGTCCACCACTGGATATGCATGGCGTCGCAATTTTTTTAATACTGTAATTTTTTTAAAAAGCTGTAATTTTTAAACAGGATGGCGGATTACAGTTTGATTACATGTACAAACATCTCTAATATTTACAAAGCTACGAAGAAATATTAAAATTTCTTTGTTGCTGACAAATTACATATTTATTTATGTAACTTATGTTTGCTGTATAAAAAGTTTTTGCCATGTGAAACAGGTTTTGGCTTTTTAACTTTTTAAATGTATTGCAAAATTTTTGTTTCTTCCCCCGAAACTGTATTCTCGCGGATTATTTTGCCTCACATGCCTCGCATACATTTTTAGTGTTCTTCCTATTCGAGTCCAGATTTCCTCTTATTTCTTAACGTCCTTATTTTGACAACAATTTTTGCAGGGAACGTCAAGGAACTAACAGCGATGTAACGAAAGAGGTTGGCTTGAAAATGTGTGAAGCTTTTGAATATTTTGATAAGGTAGGTCGCGTCGACAGAACATGCTATTGGCATTGACTTTCATAATCTGTGATCATGACCGTGTTTAGTAGATATATAACACGACTTAGCCGTCTATCTAATATAAAAATGTGCTCGACTTCATTTCACAGAGTAGTAGTTGTCGAATCGAAATATTTTGTATTTTGTTCTGGCTCTTACTTGGAATCTTTTGATATTCCTGTAATGTAGTTCTTGTTTTAACTTCAGGAAGATTACGCAAAGTCTACTGAGTTGCTGGCTCCATTAAAATACAAGTTTGTAAAAGTTGGTGGAAGCAACGCTCAAGTAAGTTTTACGACAGGGAATATACAGGGAGCAAATCCGAAATTCAATTAAGAACTTTAAGTAAATTTCTGGAGTGACTTGAAAGAAAGTTTTAAATACCTTCGGTTAAATGGATGGAGAAGTAATATGTTTTGTAACAAAGCAACGTTGCCTACAATGCAACCGTTATTAACATAATTTTATGCTAAAATGCAATGAATATGACCATAAATTGAGGCTTTGATATTTCATTCCGACTTTTAATTTTCTGATCGAGGGTGCAGAAAGTTTGTTGATTTTACCTGGATGTTACACACATCCCATAGACTCCCCTGTATATAATATCCACTTTTGGCGTTTACTAGCCTTCTCCGCAGGCATCTCACCCGACGAATCGAGTGGTGGGAAAAAGTTTGGTGAGATGCCTGCCATAAATCGACACAAAAATTTGCACTGCGCATACCGGCTCGCGCATGCAAATTTCGACAAACTCAAACTTAGGGGGAGTAGGAAGGGCTTACGGCAAGGAGTGAAGAAAATTTTGTTTTCAACACGATGGCTTACAAGACGAGTAAAACTGTAAAATTAACGAATAATCCTGGTCTTCAACATTGCAAATACAAAGGGAACTTTGACTAAGGAGCTGAGAACGTTATCGAGAGCCGACGCAGCGATTTACTGGGATTGTTTAGAGACAACGCATGACTTTGCAGAGCAGTGAATTCACGTTGTCGTCGATTCATGTCAAGACATTTATCAAGACAAGGTTTCAACTGAAAGTTTATCGTTGATATATACAAATTTCTATTCAAATTGTTGACGACATTTTATATCATAATAAGCTGAAAGTGCAGTGATTTAGTCGAAATTATAACACGAAAAGGAACGATCGAAAATTGTCAATATATAAATGTGGATTCAACTGTTGACATCTGTGCCTGCGTATTAAATATATAAACACCTCTTGCCTTGTTTTATAAATAGTACGCTTGTATGGAAGGAAATCATTAATAAAAGTCTCAAACAAATAGCTTTCTTATTGTGGAATACACTGTGCAATTTATCCCTTGGTCCCAATGGACAAAGACAAAGTTTTCAAACTTGAGTGTCTCAGATGTGGCGAAAATTAGCAAAAGCTTTCTTAAATCAGTGGCCCTGTTTTATATATGGGTGTGAGTTATGTAGACATAAGGGAAAGGACAACTGGAATTTAATAAGAATCTAATAGTTTTCCATGTGGTGCAACATGTATGAAGACCTGTCTTAATAACATTTGCCTTGGATTTGTTAATTAACCAATGGAGGTTAACATACATTCCATTTTGCTTGCCAAAGTTCACAGACAAAATATTTACATGGGTAAAATCCATTTTGCAAGGCAAATTTCCCTATAACCATACAAACAGTCACTGACGAAACTTCCCAGTGATAGACGTGTTTTCAGGGATGGATCCAGCATGATCTGGTAGGGGGGTGCTCTGCCAGCTCTGGTGTCGAGTGACTCGAGTTGTGTCGTCATGTGTGCAGCCTGCCATTAATATACAGCAACAGCAGTATTCTGACAATTTGGCAAAACAACCTCCATGTGGTACAAGTGTACTGTGTACAATATCTCATTTTGTCTCTAATATTTTTTGCTTTATCATGAAAAATAGCACACACACACCCTGGCCAGGGCTAGGGAGGGGGGTGTGCACCCTCCCCCCCCCCGCAGTAAATGCATCCCTGCATGTTTCGCTATTAATTGTTACATTACAACCACTCAAAAGTCTTTCAATGATGGGTATATATTAATTGTAAGCTGTGAAGCTTTAGATTAACCCATTGTCTGCACTCTCCCCTGGAATAGTAAAATTGTCTGATGTTAGACAGAGTAAAAGCAGGGGCGTGCCGGCAAGCGATGAGACAACAAGAACTTGTTGTGGGCCCCTGGAATTGTAGGCTCTTACATGATTCATGCCGATCTAGATTTATTATATTTAAAACAAATATATGTCAAGAGCAATTTTATTTAAACATGAACAAGGGAGATACATATAATTAGAGAATATGCAGATACATCATAAATTTCTTTATTTATCAAATCATGGATGTCATGTGGCCAGTACGTGTAACACAACTAGGCATATACTATATTAGAAAGAGGTTGTTACATGTGTCACAATGCAACTTATTAATGGTTTAGCATATTCACATGATATTAATTAAGGGGGTGAGTTCCAATTAACTATTTAACCAAGTGAAGCCTGGTTCACATATACCTGCTGTTTGTTGATGGGCTATTGTCGTTAAAAGTTCGACTAAATAATTCACAAAAGAATGTATGCATCAACAGCTGTAAACAATGATAATGCAGGCATATGTAAACCAGGCTGAAGATGTCAACAAAATCTTGATTTTTATAGTAATCAAATTTCTGTAGTTGATATTTCCAAGTTGCTATCCCTCCTCACTTATTGAAATGGTTGCTTCAACAGAAAGATCTTTTCCTTTTATATATCAATTCACTTACATGTTGCCAAATGTCTGATGATTTGACTAAAATTAGTATAAAATATAATCAAAATGTCAACCCCTTCATATAAATAAACATGCCAAAATAATATTCCAGAAAACAATACAATTCAATATAATTCCTTTATTAAACAAATTATACCTTTCGTATCGTTCCATTCTTCGTTTTGCGTTCGAAATTATGCCAGATAATTTCCTCAAATTGTAGTTCCTCGGCTGAACAATTGATACCAAGATATCTATGATTGATACATTGTAAACATTTGGCTGCTTCGAGCGAGCGATTAAATTAAATTTGCACGTCGTTTTTAGACCGCGAGAGACATTGCGATATATAATCCTTTCAATTGACCAACTAATTTTAGTATAACTTGAATATTTCGATGCATTATAAAACATTTTTAAAGTTAATACTCGCAAGCTTCGCTCCTCGCCTGAAGATTTCAAACTGAATATATAATTAGGGTCAAAAGCCTACTTAGGGGGTGGGGTACATTGACACGGCCACAAGGTACATTGACACGTCCATTTTGTTCGATTTATGGCAGGCCTCTCTCCCAGAAATTTTTTTTTTCAAAACCCATTCGCAGG